ATACACTGCTTGTGTGACTATGAAGTGACACAACCTCTGTGGAAAGCAATATGGCGATTCCTTAGAAAGTTGGAATTGGAGGTATCATTTGACCCAGCAATCCCATTACTAGGTATATATCCTAGAGAGGTGAGAGCCAGGATAGGAACAGATACATGCATGCTCATGTTCATCACAGCACCCTTTACAATAGCAAAGAGATGGAAACAACCTATGTGCCCATCAGCAGAAGAGGAGATGACCAAACTATGGTACACACACAGACTAGAATGCTATGCAGCACTAAAGAATAATGTAGAGTCTGCAAAACACCGCAGAATATGGATGAACCTGGAGGACATTATGCTGAGTGAAATAAGTCAATCAAAGAAGGACAAATATACTATTAGCTCATTGTTGTGGAGGGTCAAGGAAAGGTTTATATATGGAGAGAAACTTTCTTTGTTCGTTGCCAGGGGTGGGAGGGGAGGGAAGGGAACACTGCAAAAAATAAAAATGAAACTAAAAATGCATTGACCCATGTCACTTTAGTTTTGTATATTTCACTGTACATAAATTACATTTCAATAAGCTGCATTTAAAAAAAAATCACTTTGTTCATCTTCACAAAAATATCCTATTGATGTTCCCCATTAAATCTACTCATAAACTAGGTAAGTTCAGATTTTATTTTTCCATCCAAGAACATGGTATATCTCTCCAATTAAATTTTCTTCTGTTTCTTCTAATAATTAAACAGACTAGTAATCAAGATGGGAGCTCTGGTGAAGTAGTGCCTAAGGCATGTGACTGCTAACGAGAAGGCTGACGGTTCAAACCCACCAGCCACTCCTCAGAAGGAAGGTTGGGCAATCTACTTCCATAGTGATACCGCCTTGGAAACCCAAGGAGGGGTCGGTCGGTAGGAGTTGGGTCTGACTCAATGGCACATAACAACAACAGTAATCAAGTTAAACTAAGGAAATCTCATTAAGAATCTATTAAATTAACTAAAAAACACTGTAAAATTGTAATATCCAACACTAGAGAGGGTGTAGTGAGACTGGTATGCCCCACACTACACAGTAATCTCAGAAGCTATACAGCAACACGTATCAATGTCAAAGCAAATGTGCGTTCCTTTCGAAGCAGTTTAGCACTCAGGGTAAGGCAATGTTCCAAAAGGTGAGGAAAAGCCCTATATGTGAATAGATTCACTGTCATGTTTTTATGGGATAGCACTGAAAATGCAAAGCATAATGTGTTATAACCGTGACAAAAAGTTTGTGTACTTCATTTTGGGGCTAAGACAGCAACACTGTAGGAGCTTCTTGATTCCAGAGGCCTCCTTTAAGGCTCTCCCAGCCGCCAACAGAGGCTGCTGGCATACCTGTGTGAGGTACCGATCGTCATGTTACTGTTTGAATCACAGAAATCTGAGGAAGAAAGGGCTTAACAGGTAACAACTCCCAGGCAAGCAGCAGGCTGGTGGGGCACAGGGACAATGCCAGCCAGAAAGGAGTGAGGACAGGGCAGAAGAACAGGAGCAAAGAAGCACAGACACAGGGAGCGGGGCCGGGGCCCCGTGGGTGAGCAGGGAGCGGGGCTGGGGTCTGTGGGTCAGCTCCGACTCCCAGTAAGCACTGAGGTGTGCTTTCCGGCAACTTACTAAGGTCATGTCGTCACAGCAAGCAGCACAGGTGCAGGAGGCAGCATGAGGGTTCAAGATTCCGTCCTGAAAGTAGAAGACCATGACCCGTTAGAAAGTGTCCATCAACGTGGACTGCGCAGCACCAGAGATCTCAGCGCGTTTCCTCCTACCATTCACGTCCACCAAGATTCTGAGCACTGGAGTGCACCGATGGCCAGAGCGTGGCCTTCCTCACACATTTACCACCTACCCACCTGTTGTGCTGCCTACAACTGTCTGTGAGCAAATAATCCACCATTCGGCCTGGTGATCTCGGATTTGTCATCTGCCAGAGTCAACAGCTGGGGAAAGCAGAGAAAAAGCCAGGACAGGGACCAGGACACAGTGAGGAAGCAGAGGCAAGGGTCCAGGTAAGGCTAGGGACCCAGGCCACACACCTCCCAAGTGGTGGGAAAGCAGAGAAAAAGCCCGAGCGGGGTGACCAGGACAGAGCGAGGAGGCAGTGGCAGGGATCCAGGTAAGGCCAGGGGCCCAGGCCACATCCCCAAGTGGCAGGGATCCATGTAAGAGTAGGATGGGGAGGGAGGAGAGGTTTTGAACAGCTGAGGGAGACAACCTTGTCGGTCAGTTTGTCCTACTGTGGTGGCGTGTTGCTGTGAGTCTTGAGGCTGTGCCATCGGTGCCTCGAACCCAGCGGGGGTGCACATGGTGCACAGGTTTCAACAGCTTCCAAACTGAGACAGACCAGGAAGAAGAAGGAGGCCATCCACTACTCAAGAATTGGCCAGGGAAAACCTTATGAATAGCAGAGAAACACTGTCTAATACATTACTGTGCAACTTTACGAATAGCCTGGAAACACTGTCCAACAGAGTGCAGGAAGATAAGCCACTTAGGTCAGAAGGCTCTCAAAATAGGACCAGGAAAAAGCTGCATCATCAGAGTAGAACCAGCCTTAATGATATGGATAAGGTAAAGCTTTTGAGAGCTCTGTTTGCTGACGTGGCATGACTCAATTGAGGAGAAACAGCTGCAAACATCCATTAATAACAGGAACATGGAATGTACAAAGTATGAATCTAGGAAAATTGGAAGTTGTCAAAAATGCAATGGAATGCATAAAGATTGATATCCTGGGCATTAGTGAGCTCAAATGGACTGGTATTGGCCATTTTGAATCAGACAACCATACGATCTACTATGCCAGGAATGACAATTTGAAGAGGAATCATATGGCATTCATCATCACAAAGGATGTTTCAAGATCTGTCCTGAGTACAAAGCTGTCAATGATAGGATAATATCCATATGCCTACAAGGAAGACCAGTTAATACAACTATTATTCAAATTTATGCACCAACTACCAAAGTGAAAGATGAGGAAATTGAAGATTTTTATCAGCTTCTGCAGTCTAAAATTGACCGAACATGCAATCAGGATGTGTTAATTATCACTGGTGACTGGAATGCAAAAGTTGGAAACAAAGAAGAATCACTAGTAGTTGGAAAATTTGGCCTTGGTGACAGAAATTATACTAGAAATTGCATGATAGAATTTTGCAAGACCAACAACTTATTCACTGCAAATACCTTTTTTCAACAACACAAGTGGTGGCTATACACGTGGACTTCACCAGATGGAATATACAGGAATCAGATTGACTACATCTGTGGCAAGGGGTGATGGAAAAGCTCAATATCTTCAGCCAAAACCAGGCCAGGTGCTAATTGTGGAACAGACCATCAACTGCTCATATGCAAGTTCAATTTGAAGTTAAAGGCAGTTAAAAAGTCCATGAGAGCCAAAATATGATTGTGAATATATCCCTCCTGAATTTAGAGACTGTCTAAAGAACAGATTCAGTGCATTGAACATCAATGACCGAAAACCAGAAGAATTGTGGGATGACATCAAGAACATCATCCATGAAGAAAGCAAGAGGTCACTAAAAAGACGAGAAAGAAGAAAAGACCAAAACAGATGTCAGAAAAGACTCTGAAACTTGCCCTGAAATGGAGAATAGCTAAAGCAAATGGAAGAAATGACAAGATAAAAGAACTGAAGATTTCAAAGAGCAGCTCAAGAAGACAAAGTCAGTAATTATAATGAAATGTTCAAAGACCTGGAGTTAAAAAACCAAAAGTGAAGAACACACTCAGCATTTCTCAAGCTGAAAGAACTGAAGAAAAAAATTTAAGTCTTGAGTTGCAATACTGAAAGATTCTATGGGCAAAATATTGAACGATGCAAGGAACTTCAAAAGAAGATGAAAGGAATACACATACTCACTGTACCCAAAAGAATTGGTCTATGTCCTGGTCCATTTCAGGAGGTGGCACATGATCAAGAACCAATGGCAATAAAGAAAGATGTCGAGGCTCCAGGAATTGACGGAATACCCATTGAGAGCCAATGGATGCTGCGCTGGAGGCACTCACTCAGCTGTGCCCAGAAATCTGGAAGACAGCTACCTGGCCAACTAACTGGAAGAGATCCATATTTGTGCCCATTCCAAAGAAAGCTAATCCCACAGAATGTGGAAATTATCAAACGATATCATTAATATTGCACACAAGTGAAATTTTACTAAGATAATTTAAAAACAGTTGCAGCAGTATATTGACAGAGAACTTCCAGGAATGCAAGCTGGATTCAGAAGGGGATATGGAACAAGAGATATTACTGCTGATGTCAGATGGAGCTTGGCTTAAAGCAAAGAATACCAGAAAGATGTTTACTTGTGTTTTATTGACTATGCAAAAGCATTTGATTGTATGGATCATAACAAATTGTGGATAACATCGAGAAGAATGGGAATTCCAGATCACTTAATTGTTCTCATAGGGAACCTGTACATAAACTGGGAAGCTGTCGTTCGAACAGAACAAGGGGATACTGCATGGTTCAAAATCAAGAAGGGACTGCATCAGGATTATACCCTTTCACCATACTTATTCAACCTCTACACTGAGCAAATAATCCAAGAAGCTGGACTATATGAAGAAGAACGTGGCATCAGGATTAGAGGAAGACTCACTAACAACTTGCAATATGCTGATGACACAACTTTGATTGCTAAAAGTGAGGATGACTTGAAGCACTTCTGATGAAGATCGAAGACTACATATAGTCTGCAGTATGGATTACACCTCAATATAAAGAAAACAAAAATCCTCACAACTGGACCAATAAGCAGCATCACGATAAATGGATAAAAGACTGAAGTTGCCAAAGACTTCCTATTACTTGGTTCTACAATCAACACCAATGGAAATAGCAGTCAAGACATCAGATGACATATTGCACTGGGGCAATCTGCTACAAAAGACCTCTTTCAAGTGCTGAAGAGTGAAGATATCTCCTTGAAGACCAAGGTGCGGCTGACACAAGCCATGGTTTTTAAAATCACCTCATATGCATGTGAGAGCAGGACAATGAATAAGGAAGAACGAAGAAGAGTTGATGCTTTTGAGTTGCAGTGTTGGTGAAGAATGCTGAAAGTACCATGGTCTGCTAAAAGAACTAACAAATCTGTCCTGGAAGAAGTGCAGCTAGAACGCTCCTTGGAAGCGAGAATGGCCAGACTTCATCTCACCTACTTTGGTCATGTTGTCAGAAGGGACCATTCCCTGGTGAAGGATGTCATGCTTGGTAAAGTGGAGGGTCGACGAAAGAGGGGAAGGCCCTCAACAAGATGGATTGACACAGTAGCTGCAATGATTGGCTCAGGTATAGCAAGGACCATGGAGCTGGCACAGGACCAAGCAGTGTTTCATTCTGCTGTACACAGGGTATGAGTCGGAGCACCTAACAACACAAAAGCCTTAAAATGAGCTATCCCAGAGATGGAAGGGGGAACCTTGCTGTCACCAAGAAAGAAGAGGCAGGAGCTGAGTGTGTCCTTTGGACCTGGGGTCCCTAAGCTGAGGACTTCCTAGAACGGGAGACAGAGAGCTAACCCTGGAGACAGTGAGACAGGCCAGGTGCAGGGAGGGAAGGGGCATCAGCAGAGGCAGCAGAACCTGGGGCGCGACAGCAGAACCTGGGGCGCGACAGCAGAAGGCGTGATGGGCTTCCAGGCCTGTGGAGCGAGAGAGCGGAACAGCGCCGGGCAGAGGTTGCCAGCAGAGTGGAGTATCTCTGGACACTTGGCAGAGCCAGCTTGCCAGACTATGGAGCAAGAGAATGGAGTGCCTTCAGGCAGGAGGGCTACTGGCGGAGTGGGTGCCTGCCAGCACTTGTCCAGAGTTAGGCTTGCTGATTTCACAGAGCAAGAGAGCTGAGCACCTCCAGGTGGAGGCTTACTGGCACAGTAGGGTGCCTCTGGGCACTTACTAGTGAAGCTAAAGAACTTCGTAACACTTACCTGAGCAGGACAGAGACTAAGCCAAGAGGCCAAAGGGCTAAGGGGCTGAGGGCAGAGAGAGGTCTGTCTGTACCACAGCTTAGAAGCAGCAGTCTTGACTGGAGAACTGTATTCCAACATGTTTCTGATCCTGAATTGTAACCAGTTACTTCCTTAATAAACCCCACGACTGTGAGTATGGTCTGCATGTTCTGTGTGACCAATCCAATAAATTCTGAACCCAGCAGAGCAGTAGAGATGCCATGGGAGGACGGTCAGTGTCAGAATTCCTAAGAAGATTGGAGGGTAGAGGCATGGCTGAGCTCCACCTCACTGGAATCAGCCTTGGGCTGTTGATCTTGGGCCTCCTGTCTCCTTGTGAAGTTAGAGGAGGTCACACCCTCCACCATGTTTACAGTGGACACCAAAAAAAAAAACAAAACAAAACTCACTGCCCTTGAGTAGCGACCCCTCCTTGGGTTTCTGAGGTGGTCCCGATGGAAGCAGATTGCCCAACCTTCTGGTGGATCTGACCACCAGCCTCCTGGTTAGTATTACGCCACCAGTGCTCCCACAGGGCACACAGACGCAGCCTACTAGCCACCTCAGAAGGCCCCCCCCAGCCGTGCTGAGCCCCCGGGCTGCTACCTGAATGAGGCACTGTAGGGGTCTTCCTGCATAACGGATGCTCCTTTTCCAGTCCTTACTGCTGGCTCTTCCTGCCATGGCTTCAAATTCCGTTGGACTGTACCAGTTCTCTCCCTGCTTGATGCAACGGCCCCGGCCCCCTGAAACAGCGACAGTTGGGATGAAGTCACCCCACCATTTCATAACCAAAGGCCAGCATGCTTGCTAACCCCAGGGTGTTCTTCTGGTGCGCACCCTTGCCTCTCCACCTCCTTGTTGCCCCCTCTTGGCCTGCTCTTCACCTAGGATCTGGGGACCTCCCCACTCCCATGGCTGCATCTAACAGGCCACCCAGGACCAACTCCCCACCGCAGATCCAAGAATGAGGACTGTGCTCCCCTGCTGGTGCTTCTACCTCCTGTCCTACAGCCTCAGACTCAAGTGGGGCCCGAAAGGTCTGCCCCTTTCCTGGAACCCCACACCCGCCAGCCAAGCTGACCAGTCCTCCCTGTCCCTCTGCTTCCTCTCCCAGCCCATGGGTCATCTCATGTCCTTAAATGTGCTCTCAAATCATCCTCAAACCCATCCCTGCCCCACCCCTCTCCACAGCTCAGTTCCAGGCCACAGGTACAGTATGCTACTTCTATCGTTTGTCTTACTGTTTTTACTCATCATTACAGTGCTACTTTGCCCCATATTCACTGAGGGAGTTTCAGAAGGGGACAGACCATCGAATCAGAAGTACAAAGGTGCTCCACCGGCTGTGAAGGCCGACCTGACGAGCCCTGCACCCTCACCTGAGCCGAGCCTGCTCTTGTACAGGGTGCCGCTGATGTTCCGACACCGCACAGGGAGCTCACTGTCGTACACCGAGGGGTCCCAGTTGTACTTGGTCCCCCCTTTTTCTTGGCCAGGGACCAGAGGGGTTGGAGGAGACTGAGGGCCTTGGACAAAGAGAGCAGTTTGAAGATAAGAGACACTGGCTACATCGACAGCTAGAGAAGTACAGGAAACTTCATTTGAGCCCAAGGGTAGATTCTCAAAGTTGTCCACAGATGGTTCCAGCTCAGCCCCTCTGTGCCTTCAACTCCAACTCTGCCCCTCTGTGCCCTTCAATCCCAACTCAGCCCCACTGTGCCCTTCAACTCGAACTCAGCCCCTCTGTGCCCTTCAATCCCAACTCAGCCCCACTGTGCCCTTCAATCCCAATCCCAACTCAAGCCCACTGTGCCCTTCAATTCCAACTCAAGCCCACTGTGCCCTTCAATTTTGGGCAACTCCTTCTCTCAGCCAGGAAAACCATTTTCTCTACCTAAAATTCAGTAATACTGTATTGATGATATTCTAAGACTACCAAAAAATGGTCCCCAGAATAAATCACACACAATCACGAGTGTGCTCTGTCCCAGAAACTGGAAGCAGATGGCAATACCTCTTACCTGGGGTAAGAGGGGCCGCTGGCCCTTTCAGCCCGGTGGTTTCAACAATGCTCCCATCTGTGTGGACGACAATCAGGGTGGCCTTCTCCGTGTTCAGACTGTCCCCAATCTGAAGGGCTGTCCTGCCCGACTGCAGAAGAAAGGACACTTCTACATACCTACTTCAAGTGACAATCCCGGGGGCACAGCAAACATAAGAGGACACAGTGCCTACCACAAAGCCCTCTAAATTATTCAACTCCAACAAAGGAAAGTTTGCCCAAACATCACACACTTTCCAAAGATGTCTCTGAATGGCTTACAAACAGAGCCAAGGACAAGATGAGACAATGCGCTCTGCTGCCCCGAGCTACACACTCACTATTATTTATAAACAAATCTGAAGAGCACATGTTTCCCAGAGACACCTCCCCAACATTGAACAGAAAAACCTACTGTCTCCCTAAGCAGCCCCCACAACGTCACAGGTCTCACATTCACCATTAGGGCCACAGTCCAGTGCAGGCCACCCTTCATATCCCCATGTGCCCGCAGAAGTTCTTCCACAGACCCACTAGGGCCTGGGCCTCATGGCTGACTGCTCACACACACCCCTAAGAGGGCAGACGGGTTTCCATGATGGCTGGGACTCCCTGTGGACTTGCCCATACTTGCCTGTCAACCAGCCAGACTTCCCTGACGGCTGTGGGGTCATGAAACAAACTCGGGCCCAGAGGACTCAGTCACACTGCTGGGAGGTAGACCAGATGGCCTCCCAGGCCCCATCCAAATCCATCATTCTGGGCTTCTCTAATGCTTTCGATTAAAAGAATAAAATCAACCAAGGCAAAGTGAGAGGACAACCCCTTTTTATACCTTCAAATGTCAGCTTCATGTGGGTACAGAATATATAAAGAATGCCTACACAGACAATGGTCCTATAAGTTTATGTGACTGATCAGAATTCCTAGGTGTATAGTAGAGCTGACAAGGGGCAAGGTTGTGGTCATGGCTTTGTCACAGCCAGCTACCCAGAGGGACCGAGTAGTTGAACCTGCAGGCTTGGGACCACAGTTGCAGGGGACATCAAGCTCAATTGGCATAACATACTATACAAAACATTGTTCCACCTCCTACTTTGGTGAGTAGTGACTGGGATCTTAAAAGCTAGCAAGCTGCCATCTAGATGCAACGATGGGTCTCTCCTCGTCCAGAGCAAAGAAGAATGAAGAAAAACAAAATTCATGGAAACAATTAGTCCTAGCGACTGGTACATCATCTGATCTGCAGCCTATAAGACTATGAGACCAGAAGAACTAGATGGTGCCTGGCTACCACTGTCATCCACTTGGAAGGGGATCTATGTAGGAGATCCTTGATAGAGGTTTCCTGTGGTTTCCAGCCAAACAAAAGACAGGCATATGAGTTGAACATTTACCTCAAGTAGATACACTCCTTGGAGAGAACAATCATGGGAGAAAGAAGGGTCGCTTATGCACAGGGAGACAGCTCAGGGGGCAGGAGTGCATGGAGGGATGGACACAGGGAAGAGGTAACTATGGGGAGGAAGTGGGAGGGGAGCTGTTGCATTGTGGTAAACTGTGGTCAATGTCATGAGACAAAGTATATGTGAACTGCTATATGGAAAGTGAATTTGCTCTGCAAACCTTCACCCAAATCACAATTAAAAAAAAAAAAAAATGCCTACAGATCATCAATAAAAAGATGAAAGACTCCATTTTGTCCATTTTGAAAACTGGCAAATGGCTTCAACAGGCACCTCACAAAGATGTATGAATTGCCTGTGAACATGTGAAAAAGCATCTGACATCATTATTCACAGGAAAACAAAAATTAAAGCCACAACAAAACACTACGTCACACCCATTCACCAAATGAAACTCACTGCCATCCGATCAATTCTGGGATTTCCAAGGCTGTCAGTCTTGTCACCACTCACCTGTCAGTTTGTCATATTATGGTGGCTTATGTGTTACTATGAGGCTGGAGGTTAGGATACTGGTATTTAAATACCAGCGGGGTCACCCATGGTGGACAGGTCCCAGGGGAGCCTCCAGACTAAAACAGGGAAGAAGGACAGGCCCACCTTCTGAGAGAAATGGCCGCTGAAAACCTTATGAATAGCAGTGAAACACTGTCTGATACATTACTGGGAAATTTTATGAAGACCCTAAAACACTGTGCCGGAAGATGAGCCCCTCAGGTTGGAAGGCACTTAAAATACAACTGGGGAAGACCTGCTCCCTCAAAGTAGAGTAGACCTAATGACGAGGATGGAGTAAAGCTTTCAGGATCCTCATTTGCTGATGGGGCATGATTCAAAATGGGAAGAAAGAGCTACAAATATCCGTTAAGAACTGGAACATGGAATGTATGAGGTACGAATCTAGGAAAACCAGAAGTTGTCAAAAACGAAAGGTACCACATCAAGATCAACAGCCTAGGTGTCAGTGAGCTGAAAGGGACTGGGATCGGCCATTCTGAATCAGACAACCATATGGTCTACTAGGCTGGCAATGACAACTAAAGAGGAATGACTTTGCATCCATCTTCCAAAAGAATGTTGAAAAACTGTCCCACCTCCTACTTTGGCGACTGGAATCGTAAAAGCTAGCAAGCAGCCATCTAGATGCAATTATGGGCCTCTCCTCATCCAGAGCAAAGAAGAATGAAGACAACCAAAGATGCATGGAAACATTTAGTCCAAGGGACTGGTACACCATGAGATCCTCAGCCTATACGACTATGAGACCAGAACTAGATGGTGCCCAGTTACCACTGTCAACCACTCGGAGGGGGATCTACATAGGAGATCCTGGACAGAGTGGGAGAATAATGTAGAACAAAACTCAAAATCATTTGGAAGAAAAAGGGGGACCAGGTTTGCTGGTCTGATAGAGCCTGCTGGAACCCTGAGACTATGGCCCCTACCTGCCCTTCAGGTCTGGAAATGAACCCACTCCAATGGCTTCCAGCCAAACAAACGACAGGAACATGAGGTGAACATTTACATTAGGTAGATACACTTCTTGGATAGCTCTATCATGGGAGAATAGAAGGGCTGTGTATGCACTGGGAGACTGCTCAGGGGACAGGAGTGCATGGGATGAAAGCACACAGGGAAGAAGTAACTATCGGGAGGAAGTGGGAGAGGAGCTGTTGCATTGTGGGAAATTGCAGTCAATGTCATGAGACAAAGTGTATGTGAGCTGCTGTATGGAAAGTGAATTTCCTCTGTAAACTTCCACTCAAATCACAATAAAAATGAAAA